TTACTGCGTGATGACTAATCTTATGTCTACTTGAAAGTGTTCATGTTCGGCACACCAAATATTATACAAACGATATGAAGTGAAATCAAACATATAATCGGTGCAATTTGGGGGGAAAGTTAATTGTTTTCTAATCATTTTGTCGTGTATAGAAAACATAAAACAACTAATTTCCCCCTAAAATTGTACCATTTGTAAGCTTGATTTTACTTCTTTAAGTTGCTCTTACTTGATCGAGTACTAGAATGTCCTACTACAGAAAAGGTAACCTGTCGAAAAAAATATAAACTCCGGAGACAAATAAAGGCAACAGTAGTATACCGCTGTTCGAAAACTCATAAATCGATAGAGATAAAAACAAATCCGGGTTACAAACTAAAACTGAGAGAAACGCATCAAATATAAGAGGAGAACAACGACACAACAAAAACACAACATTAAAATGTAACACACACAGAAACGAACTATAATATAACAATGGCCATTTTCCTGACTTGGTACAGGACATTTTAAGAAAAAAATGTTGGGTTGAACCTGGTTTTGTGGCATGCCAAACCTCCCGCTTTTATGGCAACGTCAAACGCAACACCAAAACGACAACATCACATAACAGGACCACAATACAAATAAATGGGAGAACATATAGGACAAAGAAACACACGAATAATAGCTAACAAAAGGTACTAGGCTTAAAATTCAATACGCCAGACGTGCGTCTCGTCCACGCAAGACCAACCAGTGACGCTCAGATGAAAAAAGTTTGGGGGCCAAAACAAGTACAAAGCTGAAGAGCACCGAGGACCAAAACTTCCAAAAAGTTGCACCTAACACGGCCAGGGTTTTCTGCCTGGGACAAGAACATCCTTATTATTTAGAATAATTTATAATTTTGCAAACAGTAAATTTTATAAAATGACTATATAATAGATATACATGATAAAACCAAAGTGGGGACTAACTACATAATAAAACGGATACATTACATAAAACAACTTAATCCAACACATAAAAAAATACACAGCCGAGTTAGCCAAAGCCTCAACGCACAAAGTGACGTCACATTTAAAATTCTAAAAAAACACACAAAGTGACGTCACATTTGAATTTGTAAAAGTATTTCCCAAAAATAAGATAGGATTAGGATTGATTAAAGATTAGATTTGTAATACTGACATTACATTTTTATTAGTAACAATGAAAATTACAATACTTATTAATATCAAATGGTATTTATTAGATAATTAATTGTATTATCTAGCTATTTCGGTGTTTCTTCTGAATCAAACTGTAAACCAAATATATCGTATAAATTTAGTTGAACAAACTAAAATCTAATAAATGAAGGGGGTGATTAATTATCTTTACCATAACACAACAGAAAAGACGTTAAGACATTTGACAAAATCCGACGAGAACAACAAATATAACATCAAAATTGAATACATGAATTTGGGATAGAAAGGTACCGTGACACGTCTTATAGCAATGCGGTTTCACACTCAGCAAAACAGTCACAATCGGGAATAAGTCACGTTCGGTAATTAAAAGATCATACGACGTAATGACAAACCTCCATCTAACACGTGGTAAAAATGTCCTTAGTTAGTTTGGACAAAGACAAATCGTATGGATCAACCAATTGGTGATGGTGTCCGTAAAATTTACGGAGTGTCGTTTTTAATCTGTCCTCCTCATAACTTTGTTGGAGCAGTTTCTGCGTAAGGAGCACACTCCTGTATATGAAGTCCGTATAGTGTGAACAAGCACGAGAATAACGTATCAATTGAGATATGTAAACACCATACGAAGGAGCAGAGGGTATGTTACTGCTGAGAAATGGGAAATTGATAATTGGGAAGACAAAAGTCGGTACTATGAAAATAGTCTAATAGATAAATTAGTTTTCTATGTCTTCTGTTGGCCCTATCTTTTTGAAGTATTTATATCTCGGCGTGTGTTTGTTAGCTTCCAAAACCATATTTTTAAAACACACCATTTCCTTCGGATCCTGCTCGTGGCAGGTGCGCTAAACTCCAATCTTAATGGACAAGGAATGTCAGTTTTCCTACCGAAGGTCGGTTATTCTCTCCGGGGACTCTGGCTTCCTTCACCATTAAAAACGGATCGCCACGAAATAGCCCGACAGTAAGTGAAAGTGGCGTTAACCACCAATCAATCATATATATATTTTTATTTTTTGCTTGCTGCTGACGCTTTGTTTACAGTTTAATGCTTATGCTTCATTTTATTATAGATTTTGATTATCACACAGATCTTCAATTTTAGATTTTTCATTATGTTTAAAGTGGCTTATACTCTATTTTGTGCGTGTTAATTAATGAATTTCCATGTTTATAAATATCAAGTTTTATCACGATTTTTACCTATATTCTATTTTTTTTTATTTTAGTGCTTTATTCCAAATTTTGTAGTACTTTAATCATGCTTCAACTTGCTTAAACATGTTAAACCCTTGTTGAAGGCCGTACGGTGAACTATAGTTGTTAATTTCTGTGTCATTTGGTCTCTTGTGGAGATTTGTCTCATTGGCAATCATACCACATCTTCTTTTTTATATAAACCAAGTCTTTCTTATATGACCCTTATATAAATGCCAAATCTGGTGTATGTAATGCATGTTGTTGTTATTTTGTATTTATGTTATGTATATTCGGTCGAACTCATGCTCGAGCTTGTGTTGTATAGTTTTATAAATGCCGAACTCGCAACAAAATTTTCGTATCTCATCTGATCAATCAATCAATCAATCAATCAATCAATCAATCAGGAAATACCTATACCAAGTCAGAAATATGACAGTTGTTTATGAGTCGTTCCGTTGGTTGATGTATACCGATTATCAAAGTGTCTGCATATTGATATTGTAAAATATCAGCTGCGAGTCACAATATGAAGCTTTTTGTCGAGTGAGCGCAGCGAACGAGTTCAAAAAGGCTTCTTTTGTGTCGAGCAGCTGATATTTTACAATATAAATATGCAGACAACCAGATAATCGATTTATCGGGTTGTATTTCCGTATTTTGTATGAGAGAGATAAGTGTTTTCTTTGCTTCACCAGCAAACCAGAAGATGATTGATAAGTTCGGGTCAGTAACAGATAGAAAAATCAGGGTTAGAATTCATAGAACAGACAAGGTGCAGTGGCAAATATTTCATGGATATTTTGGACACAGAGAGGGTTACCCCGGCACTCTTTGCCCAAAAAAAACCTCCTATTTCTTCTATGTGCCTCAGGACTTTTAGTTTTGAATTGTAGTTTCACTTTCCATATTCGGTATTTATTCTAATGTAAGCTCCACATGGTAAAAATCACGTGATGCAGGAATATATTATCTTGGAGTTAGGCTATTTCTTTCTTTTCGGGCGGGGACTTCAAGCAGACAACATGCATGTGTATAACGGCACTGTATATTTTCTTTTTAAATAAAGAGAGTTGCCGGTCCTGTACATGAATAGATCGGTTAGAAAGCAAGGTTTTAATTTTAATTAGATTGGAAAGCTTAATTCGAGATTTGAAAATGGAGAGAGCGAAAAAAAGGGGTAGGTTGTTCCACGGGGAATATTTTTATCTTATGAACTCTACATTTGAAAGGTTCAATTTTTGGTTTATCTAATTAAAAGAGAAAACAAATAATGTTAGACAAGTTGTGAATGTCTTTCTTCATTTCTCCCGGCAAACTTATCAACGTCTGTTCATACATTATGACGTCGCTGATATGTCCGGGTCAAAGTTATTTAGACCGGGTCAACGTATTTGACGTCACAAAGCCGTGATATGCAATTTTATTAAGAGCTGAGCAGAGTGATATAGACAGTGGGACGACCGATAAAATCGAATATTTGGTTTTGTCAGTTTACTATAGACTTCTTCTTTTTGAATTTACCTTGAAGTTCGTTATTTTTAATATTGATTTTTGCAGTGACGTCTTTGATTCCAATGAACCAGTAATAATTAAGGCCATTTTTCAAATATGGACAAATCAAAATTCTGTTAAAATCTTTATTTATTTCCAGAAGTTGGACAACCTGAGCATCACATGAGATTATACAATCCGGGCCTGGGTATTAAAACAGGATTTCTTACAAATAGTAATGGCCTAAAATTTGTCAGAATTTGCTTGCATTTATATATTTTAAACCAAATTATACTTCTTCGTCTCGCTTATATCGTATGTGAATATGTGTATATGTATGCTTCATGATCCTTCATGTAATGATTTGCATATATTACGTATCCGCTCTTGTGTGTTTTGTAGCTTGCTTAGTTTTAAACATGCTTGTTTAATAGTTTTGTTTGTAATAATACAATATAAGAGGTCAATAGAGCTTATGTTTTCTGTATACAAATATTCGTTTATAAATGACGCTTAAAATTGAACTTGAACTTAAAAAAGTTTTTTTTGTTATTAAATTTATTCTTTAATGATTATGTTCTTCAAATATCTCATCCTTAACAATGTCAGTTGCAAACTTTACAAAAAGTTATTGGAAACCTCAGCAACTCTTTTGTTTTGGTAATGATCATGGGCTTGTTATCATTTTCTTAAGTCTACAGTAATTGTTTAACTAGACAATCAGTTTGTTCAAATCTGACATTTGCATTTTACGGTTTAATTATTAAATCATTAAATAGCATATTTTTTTTGTATTCTGAATTGTTCGCATTCACGTGTTTTCCTGATACTTTAAACGTTCTTTGGTTTCACTCGTTTTAAATTTAGATTGTTTAATACAGTTATTACAGAGACATATATGTATTATACGTATGTCTCTGGTTATTATGATAGGTTGTTACCGTTTTGCCAAAAATGAACACTTCTATTGGGTTTTTTCTTTTTCTTCGTTTGAACGTGGGGAAAACAAAAACGATGCACTACATCTTAAAAAAATAAATATATAATATTTTTAATGGATATAAGTTAAATATTATATTGTTTGATTTTCTTTACATTCAGTACGGGTCTGCGATGAGTCTTGCACACTTGCGCACTGATGCAGACGGGTACTTCCTGTATTTCATGCTTTTAAAATATGCCGACTTACAAAGGTTGTTATTAAGTTATTTCAACATTTCCATGACTCTCTTGTCCAGAATTACACTAAGCAGGTTAAAACACTTGAATTCCAAATGTGGTTCTTTTTTGTTTTTGAAATACACACGTCAGTAAAAATTCTATAACTAAAAGCCAATGACTGAGCACTTTTTTGGTTGATCACAGAGAAGTTCATGACCCGGTCTATGCCATATAGATTTGTTTCTAGTCTTTCTGGCTATGGAAATGCTGGGTAATAATGTTATTAGGCGGTTGCTTCCTGATGAGCTCTTAAAGGTTCAAACGGGGAACTCTCAAGATACAAAAATGAAAGAAAAAGGAGATTAATTTTTGTTCCCTAATATGAGGAAGGCGCTACCTTGAATGCCAGCTTACCAAGACTATGTCCTACATATTGTTGCTTAACGTCCAGTGGCAAATATTTCATGCCTGTTCAGGACGAATGTTCTACAGAAAGTTTTTGTCTAAAATAAAATAATAAGTTCAGATGGAAAATGTTAAGTGAACGATCATTGAACTTCAAAAGGCAGGATGGAGTATGTTTTTTTTTTCTTCAAAAATATTCTGATTCCCAAATTGATGAAAAAAAAATATTCTAATCAAGCAGAGGACAAAAAATATTCTGAATCCAGATTATCCCCATACCTTCTAGTGTTAATTTTTGACCAAATAATTTTGATTGATAGCACCCCTTTGCGTGAAATAAATCTAACTCAAATAAAAAACCATACCTCCCCCTACCCTTTTGAAGCTAAATGGTTGCACCCTTATTGTCCATATTGTTTTCTGCTGAAAATAAATTGGAATATCTTTTTCATCAATATCTAAAAGTTGAAGCTGTTTTTTTTATTTAGTATTGCAAACAATGCTTTCTGTTTGTTGAATTATTTTTATTTTGTAAATTAGCTGGATGTTCATATTGTATTCCCAGTTTCCTGCATCTCATATATATGTGATCAGCAAGAGGATCATTCTGATTGTTAAAAGAAGAGTTTGAATTTACAGTGAGCCTGTTTAAAATAATGTTTTTATCAGGTTTTTCATTTTGATCTAAGCATAAGGAACCATAAATAGGATTGTTAAGTTGATAATCTAAAGATTTTGCTATTTTCTAGGATGCTATTTAAAATTTGAGGGGAGAACACTGCTCAGCAGTATAAATGTATTCCTGATCATCTTCTGTTTGTGGGTTTCTACATCAATTTCATGTACTAATTCAGAGTCAGTTTTATGTCATTTTTGCATTTTTTTTTATAAGCTTACTTTTCAATTTTTTATATGATGGCAAAATAAAATTCAGAATGGAAATGGGGAATATGTCAAAAATTTGCTTTCGAGTAATGCAATCATGTCACTGTTGTCCGAAGACACATTTGGTTTCCGGACAGTAACTTTAGTTTAAGTAAATGGATCTCTATGACAATGTATGAAATTGTACCAGAAGGTTCAACTTCAATACACAAAAGGAAGGTTAGAATTGATTTTGGAGGTTAACTTATCATATGGTACCAACAGTTTAGGAGTCAGTGGTCAAAAACTACTTTTTTTGGTTGTTTTTTCCATAATTTTTGGGTTTTTTCTCCAAAAATTTACCATTTTTATATTGATTATTTCTCATTTATATATAAATGCAACAAATACTGATATGGTAGGAGACACATACGTAACAGGGTGTGTAAATTATTTTATCGGTAATTTGTGCATTTTTCCTTTGATGTGTACTTCTTGATAATGTCGACGTCAGTATCAGTGAACTGGTCATGATAAAGAAAATATATTGGGTCAGTTCGCAATTGACATGGGCAAGTGCACCGCAAAAGGATCTTCTTTCCCTTTAATTCACAAAATTGCACATGATTTTTTTCGCAGAAACGCACAAGTTATTTCATGAATGAAACACTGTAATTGTTTGAAACTTTCAGTAATAAAAAGTTAGTTTAGCCTTTTTGAACGATTCACTGATTGTGTGAAAATTTGAACAGAAAATGAACGATAAACCTGATAAAATTGCATTATCTGCAGAATTATTGATAGCTTTCCTTACTATTCACAAGGACATATAACTAACATATCGTCCATGCTATTCCGATCTGAGTTTTTAGTCATACATAGTCTGGCATGGCTGGTGCTGTTCCAAGTTGTCTTCTTTCTCTGCATGTTTCTTGAGAAGTATTTGTTTGACCTGGTCAGTCACTATAAAGTGTTACAATTCATATTTAGATGCAACACATAAATAGTGACCAAAAAGGTACCGCTTTTACATGTATGACATGAGAGAATTTAGAAAAAAAATTTAAATGTACACATAATTTTTCAACATTTTTGTGGGACTATCATATAAAATTAAGGAGATATGTAGTTGGAGACTGCTGCTGAATAGAAATGTTCAGCCTCACCTGATATCTGTTTTCAAATTAGTCCATATTAAAGTTTGAAGGGTCCAAAATTAAAATATGTTTGATTTCAACTGCCATAAAATTTTTGGTGTTTTTTTATATGCTAAATGTACATCCGTGGTTGTATTAGGCTGAGCTTGGCGAAGCATTTTATTGCTTTTTTGTTTGTACTTTATTTTATTTTGGTCATGAAAATTAACTTGTAGTTGTGAAGTTGCTTACATTTTTAAAAGATGATAATTAGATAACTTCGCATGGTGACAACACTGACGTATTCGTAGATTTACTTTTTCCCGGGAATGCTTCATCTGTTTATATATTCTCATTGTGAACGATTTGTGTATATTTAAATATATTAACCGATGTTGAAAGACACGTATAATGTCAAATCATTATAATACAAATTGTTTAGTCTCAAAGAAAACTTGTAAGATTTCTGCAGTTATTTTTGTTGAATAGGTGCAAATTGGGTACTCGGTGCAATTTGGGAACTGTGACGTTATAGCCATAAGTGTTTATTGCTTTAATAGGTTGAAATGTGCACCTGATAAAAGTATTCAGTAGAGGGAAAATGTTTTGATCAGGTTTAAACTGACGCATAAAATATACAGGCGACTGCGGGAGGGAATTATTTATATTGCATCCAAATAATGTGTCGGCAGCTTGAATTTCAAAGGATGTAGCCCACATACTTCCAAGTAACATGCTCTATACCTATCAAAAGTCATGGTATTATCATGGGTTATCATAATCCATCTTCCCATAAAATCCTATTTTGGACAATATGGGTGCATACAATATATATGTACCTATATTATAAATGTATCACTCAGACTCAGGTCTCCTTTTACAGCTGTTTTATGATTAAACTTAGAGAGTGAAAAAAAAAACAGTCTCCATCTCCTGGGACTGTTTAAGGTAGATATGTGTCATAATTAATGACAAGATCTGTTGAGAGTTTGTCAAAGGAAGTACAGTCTACAGATAGTGTCTGAATAGTGAATTTGAATATATTTTTTTTGTTTAAAACTTCTGTTAAGTTTTGAATTTCACCTGCATTTGTCTGTGAGCTACAGGAATAACCGTGACCACATTCAACAGTATAACCAACTTCATTATCACTGTAACTTGATATGGGAAATTCTGTAGCAAATTTAATAGCTAGTAGTCATGGTCATAGAGGCAGAGCAGCGGATTTTACTACCTCCGGCTACATTTCTCCCGAAATTTATTGCTTGCAGAGGGTTTTTCTGTGTTCCCATGGCTGGACGGAACTTTTACACTACAAATGTTATCATAAATTATGATATTGTAACTTTTAAATGAAGTACCTGTGGTAATTTAGGAAATTTGTCACTGATAATGGAAAGATGAAGCAGACGACGAAACATGGCGTAAGATGTTGTCCAAACTTCGGTTATTTCCGTGGTACAATAAAATTTAAATAAACTACACAAGTTACTAAAATTTCTAAATTCTTGTTTTTGTAAACAAATAAAAATTCATGTCGTATTTAACATCGAATGTATTCCGTTTTGTCTCGTTTTTTCAAGATCGCGATTAAACGAGAATCTGGCAGCCATTAAAAATATAAGGGTTAAACTAATGTCCTGACCATGTCCTGACGGATATTCCAATGCTAATTTCGTTTTCATTATTTAAAGAATTGACTTTATATTTGGAGCCAAGCAAGAATACAAAATTTATTTAATAAATATAAGGAAAAAAAAGAAAAAAAAATTTTTTTAGAGTTAGATAACTTGACTTGATCAACTTCGAAATTAAAAAAAAAAAAATCGTACGAGATTTAACGAGAGTGACGAAACTTTTTAGATTGATCATGTAGAGAGAGTTATCGTTCTTTATTCCAATTAGATGCTTCTACCATAAGTGCCAGCTAAAGCTGGCATATAATACTAATAAACGTATTTACATTTTTGATATTTAGTATTTACATTTTTGGTATTTAGCTGAATTTTGTCTCCAAATGACCTGATGACGTCAAGCAACAATCACTATTTGATTATGAAGTCAAATTTTTAAAATTGTGATCATGGTGATGTCAAATTTTACTGGATCTTGTGTGAATTTAAGTGAGTAATGGCGGACAAATTTGCATACAAGTGTAAATACATCTATTATTCATTTGCCTTTGGCCCTTGATAATGGTGTTTATTTTCCAACTCATTTGCTATGCCTGTGTCTATGGTGATGATACACAGGTTGGGGAAGATTCTCACAAATGGTACCCCATTTTTGGGTATTATACCAAAATATGGTATCAATTTACAGTGATAAAAAATCAAATTTTGAATTTGATCATAATAGCTGTCATGGCGCAAAAATTCATATAAATGGCAACATTTTCACCTTTAAGACAATCATGACAATAGTTCAAATGACAAGACAAAGATAAATACCTCCAAAAATCCTACTTTTTGAAGGCTGTTAACTTTTATCCTGATGATAATTCGGTCATGGTGTCTGTAGGCAAAATGTTGTCCTTTACCCAAAGTTTGTATTTTTATCACTGCAGATTTGACACCCGTTTTATGTTGATCATCCCCAACCTGATAAAGATTTCTTTGTAATATGATGCAGGTGTAACCTCTGTCGTCGGGTCTGATCTATGATTGAGAGTCTAGATTGGGGGGGCGGGGGGGGGGGGGGGGGGGGGGGGGATTTTTTAGGTCATTTTTTTTCTTCTTTATATTTTTTGCCCATTATTCTCTATACTTTATATTTTAGAACTCCATTATTCTCTATTTTTTTATTTTTTGCCTTATTTTTCTTTATTCTGTAAACCCCATCCAGACCCTCATAATCTGGGGGGACTTATAGATTGATAGCATGTTTGATAAATTGTACATGTTGTAACTTTTATTTCACTGCCAAAACCCACATGTACCAAGTAAATGATACTAAATGTGTGTCGCCAAAAACATAAATTATAGTATGCAGTCCTGTAAATGAATATGTCAAAGTTCAAACAAGCTAAATTAGGTCATAAATTTCCCCATCCAGAAATACTAAATATATGGTATAGATTTTGCTTATTTTTTAATGAGTATGGTGACCTAAAGTTGCTTACAGATATGTCATTTGAACTCTGATGAAAAGTTGTCTCATTGGCAGTCATACGACATACATGTACATCTCCTTATTTTTGAATTTAACAATTGAGGCTGCACATAAGCCATATCTTGTATTATACTTTAATTCTACAGTAACTAACTTGTAGACATTGCAGGGAACACTGCCATTGTTGAGAAGTACTAAAACATTTAATTTGTTCACAAAAGAAAAGTTAAAAAAAATGAAGTCTCTTTTAACATGTTTAAAGCTTTAAAACTGTTAACATCTTCAGTCCTTCCTAGACAAAACTTGTCCATTAAAAATTTAAATGTATGTTAAGACAGAATTATTATATGCAAGGTTTCAAAATCATACAACATCAAGATGTCCTGAACATCTTTGAATAGACAAGCAAATATATTTCATCAATGTACTTTATCTGTTTATTGTAGTTAATATTAAGTGGGGTAAAGAAAAGTTCAGTGATGTTGAATGTAACACAGATGAACCTCCAGAGGTATTTAAAGCACAATTATTTGCCTTATCTGGTGTTCAGCCAGATAGACAGAAGGTTATGTTAAAAGGAATGGTCGTTAAGGTAAATATGACTGTTATTTATGAAAACTATTTTTCAAATAAAATTATGCAAAAAAAAGAATTTTCCATGAATGTACATGTGACGAAAATCTTATGAAATGCATACCCATTCTGAGCTAGGGAACAATAACATGATACATGAACAAAAAAAACAGTGATTCAAAGTTATGCCAATGATAATGACAATCACTAAAACGAATATGGCACAGTAAAACTAGTTATATGAGTTAGTGGAACAAAAAAAATATACAATGAAGATTAGCCTAGGAAAAAACTTAAGTACAGAATTAGCACTTTTATAAATCTGTGGATTACATATACCAAATGGTGACTGTACTAACCATATCAATGTACATGTAGTTAACATTGCCAATTTTTTAATTCTGAGTGATATTTAAAAGTTCTCTATTCTTTTTTTACTAGGATGACAGTTGGGGAAATGCCAAACTAAAAGATGTAAGTGCAATGATTGATCAAAAAGCCTAGTTGATTGGGAAATAGAATCATTGAAATTTGGATAGAAATTAGAGTTCATGGTCTTCAGCAGTAAACATTTTTGATAAATGCAGGAAAAAATAATGAACAGGGCAGTTTTATATATATATATGTTTTTGTCTTACCTTGACAAAGTGACAGAAGAGAGACTTCGGTGTACATTTTCAACATAGGTCTCCCTAAGAATGACTGGGCAATATCCAACATACATTGGATTGTAGGTGGTGCGAACAATTGTTTACATTTGCTATGAGTAATTTTAAGAGGAACAACAAATGGTAAGTCAACGATATTTGGTAGTCAGTTGCATTCTATTGGCACATCTTATTTTTATGGAGATCATTTGGCCCTGTTCCTCAGTCATGATCCATTGACTTTGAAATTTTGTCATAGTTTACATGCTAAAATTTGTGATAGGTCTGTTTAAGAGGAATCGCTAATAGTAGGTCAATTATATTTGGTAAGGAGCAGTTTTAGCATTGTCACATCTACTTTCAATGGAGATTATTTGAATCCTTCCCCTCAGTTATTGTCCATTGACTTTGAAACTCATGTTTAGATGTTTTAATATAAATTTCAACATTTGCATTATTCTATCAAAATAACAAACAAGCAAGACACATCTCTGTGTCAACAGTTTATCTTCAACCTCTTAACCTCTGTCTTGTCATTTCAATCAGTGGAAACATAAACATGATAAAAGGTACACAGAATAATGCAAATTTAAAATTAGTTCAGAAAAAGCTCTCTGTAAAACCTGTATAATGGACATCTAAAACACAGGTAAAAGAAAAGCAATACTAATTGATACTATAGCAAAGCCTGCTTACAGTTAGTTACTGTAACCCAGCTTAAAGAAAATGCCATGCCACCCTTCACTCTTAATATCTACAGCTCATACAACAGTTAACAGTGCAGGAGGACACAACCTTGTACAATGTCCAGTAAATCTGTTCAAAATAACAATGCATAAAAGAAAAAAAGAAAAAAAAACACATTAGTTTTGTATCAAACTATGGACTATGAATTATCAGTACATTCTCATGAAAATATAAAACACAGTTTTTGAACATTTTGTACTCTTTTCTTTGTCATTTGATAAATTATGTATAAAACTAAGGGATTTGATGGAGTTGTACAATACAGAGACAATATTCCAGCCAGTTACATGCACCTATCACACTCACTTACCAGTATTTTATCACTACATTCCAAGTCTTACAGGCACATATTGTAGGATTTAAATTTAGAATATTTAAATCATAAGAAAAAGTAAAAACAATTAGAAACTGTTAAACATTAATACAAAATAAAGAATGACATTGTTATTTAGATCTTTTTACTTTTAACTGATGTAAAATTTTGTCAATGTTTGAAATCAATTATGTTTTTTTTTAATTTCAGGGTGCGATGGTTTTAATGATGGGGAGTGCAGATGCACTTCCAGAAGCACCAAAAGAGAAAGTAATGTTTATGGAAGATATGAGTGAACAACAGCTAGCCACAGCTGTAAGGAAAATTAATCGGATTTTACAGTTGTTATTTACAAGCATTAAAAGTGTTCTTCCTTATATGATTAATCATTTAATTTTTTTTTTAAATTTCTGGTGAAAATCCATTTCTAGAAAACACCTTTCAAAGAATTTTTATATCTTGAGTGAGATCAGTAGTGAATTTGAACCTGTTTGTTTGGTTCAAGTATCTTTCCTATACAAACAAATATCTTAGAAATATTTACATTACAAAAGAAGTTTGCTTATTGCAATATCACAAAAGAACGATATGTTTGTTACTCCATACTTTTTCCTCTTCAGATAATAAATCTGTGAAATATTATCTATGATGACTGATGTTGAAGTACTTTTATCTTCCAGTTGAAGTTACCGGCTGGTTTAACCAATCTAGGGAATACATGTTATATGAATGCAACAATACAGTGTCTTAAAAGTATACCAGAACTGAAAGATGGATTAAAAAAGTAAGAACTATTATATGGATTTTTGGGAAAAGATGACTGTCATCTTATGAGCTAATACTGTAGATCAAAAGTTTTTGCCTAAGCAAGTTTCAGGACTTTTTAGGAACCATTCAAGTTTTCACATGTGTATTACATCAGAAAACAACAAAAATGTGGTGTGGGAAAGGAAAAATAATACTGTGGATTCATTATTACTCAGTGGATACACATTTTGTAGGTAAAGGTGGACCATGAATTTAAGTGCTCAACGAACACAAATTTTCTAGAGGCTCGTATGCAGACTTTGCAAAAACTTTAAAATCAAATATCTAATAAAATTTTTCTTCAATCCATGAAAATTGATACCCACAATTCACAGTATACAGATTGGTTTTAAATAACAAAACATAACGTTCCCTTACTCTCATGGAGTAATGTTTAAATATGTTTTTTTTCTTTCTTATCACATTCATTTTCTTATTTCCATAAGTAATACAAAACATCCTAAATGTTTTACTCATACTGGATGTCTTCAAATTTAGATTTGATAGAACACTTGCATTGATCAAATTTGAAAGCTTTAAAGACAATTAGGGGCGAACGCTAATTTGCCCTTCTACTATAAATGATACCTTGAGCATTCTTAGTGGACAACTCAAATCACCTAGAAAGATAACTTGGCCTGTTCTAATGACACTGGTTAACTTATGCTTGTGTTTGCAGACACTACTTTCTTCATTGAATATAAAATTTGTCTTTCTAGTAGAGGGTTGTCTTCTGGCTGAGTTGACTTTTATTTTAAAGTCATTAAACAAGTTTCTGGGGATTATAATGTTGAGGAAATTTTTTAACCAATGCATGCCTCTGGCCTTTGTTAGTCTTGTATCATTTTTAATTTTAGTTTCTTGTGTATAATTTGGAGTTTAGTATGGCGTCCATTATCACTGAACTAGTATACATATTTGTTTAGGGGCCAGCTGAAGGATGCCTCCGGGTGCGGTAGTTTCTTGCTGCATTGAAGACCCATTAGTGGCCTTCGGCTGTTGTTTGCTCTATGGTCGGGTTGTTGTCTCTTTGACACATTCCCGATTTCCATTCTCAATTTTATATACATGAGTCCTCTGTGCATGTTTATTTTTTTTACATCTTGTACGAATTCATTAGGTATAATGGAATATACTATTTTATTCTGTGATTATGTTTAAACACTATGGCTCCTAATTATCATTTAAGGTTTGGTGCTGATGTTGACTGATCATGACCTTGATAAGCAATCAACTCAGAATCATGGAGCATGTGTTTAATAAGTGAGATGCTAGAGTGATGTTTATTTGTTTTATTAATATTTCCCACGAGTTCCCATTGCATAATTTAATTTGTCATAACAATTGTTATTAAAAGGATACCCGAGGTATCCACTCCAGAAACTCTACCATACTACATATTTACCAGGCATTGGTTCACTTTCCATTGTAAAAGGAATAAGTGTATTAAAATTTTTCTTTAGAATCAGCTACTACTATCTTCCTTCCACCTTTTTTTTTTTTCTTTTCTTGCATCATGGTTTTCCTTTCGCACTTGTGCTGTACAATTGCTGAATTTCTAATGAGCGGTGTCATGGTTAGGTCATACAGAAAAGCTGTCTGTGAATTAGAGTACAGGAAGACAGTAATTCAATAGCAGAAGATTTTGATAACATGAAAGATTTACTTTTAAAAAAAAAACATATGTACATGTGTTTGAATGTAGCCAATGCAGTATATAAAACATGTTCATTTTTTGGGGTTAAATTTTAAGGATCACATGACTTTAAGGTACAATCAGAATCAATACACAAGAAAAAATGGTAGTAACATAAAATGTTTTGTAATTCAAATAATTATATAAGCAGTGTGGTCTAAGGATTGATAAATGTGATCATTTTCACCTTCATTGGACTATAAACTTAAAGAATAAGGAAATTTTCAGGAAATTTATATAACACTACTTCTGGAAAAGAATATTTATAGTGCGGCATCAAAATAATAAACACCTTTGTTTTGTAATGATTAACATGCAGTTCAATTATTTTGGGAACAGAAAAAATTGATATTAAGGGAAAAATTGTTGTCTTTCCCCCCTTAGACTTTCAAGCTCTTTGATTTTGAAGATATTGTATGAGTTTTCTTAAACTTCATTAAGAAAAGTTAATTTATTCACTACTTAAAATTTATATATGTAAATACATCTAATGAATAAAATGATATATGGGAAATATATGTCAATGAGACAGTACCCAACAACACAAAAAAACCAAAACCATGTAGATGTCAACATAACTATAACATTAAATGAAGAAAATTGTGTGGTTTTCTTATTATTTCAAAAAACAGAATAATTGGTTTTTTTCCCCAAACTTAGTCATAAGGGGAGATAACTCAAATAAATGTAACTTTTATATTGTTAAGTGTAGTAAATTTACCCTAGTTTTATTTTTATTTTGTGAAAGCACATTAAAGTATCTATCTTCTCATATTTTATCTTAAAATTCTATCATTTAGTTTTCTTTCTATCACACAAAATTGGTTTTTCCATGTATAATAAAAAAAATCCTATGTGACCCATTCTTTTTATTGTGTTTTTGAAAAATAAGCACAATATAGACTACATTTGGCAAAGTATTAAAAACTTCTATTAATTTTGATTTAGACTTATCTACCTTAAAGCATACAAGATAATTTTTCTTCTTTATTTAGATACAACAGTAGTTCTGGAGGTGGAGCTGATGCTGGAGGTTCTGCTGATCTTATAACTGCTTGTAAGTTGTACGGTCAAATTTAATGATTAATAATTAAGTATACACAACACATGTTTCTTTATTGAATTATTCAATAATTGCACAGCTTAATATATTGAGTATAAAACAAGAAATTGTATAACCAGAATGACAAAACAAATTTTGTGTTAAACTGAAAATTTTTAATTAAATGTATACCTTTAAAAATATTCAGCAAAGAACTTTATGCTGTAGAATCTGTAGTAAATATCCTCAAGGAATTAGTCCACCATCAGTAGTATCAACTAAGTGATAGGTAGGATAAAACTAGATCAATATGATAATAATAATCAAATACCACGAAGACAGGCAAAAAAAAGGAAAATATCTTGTGTTTAAAAAGTTACATTTTTACTGTAGATATCAATATATCTTTATGTTGTGACATTGAAAGTAATGAAAGAAACAAAATATCTATATTCCTGAGTTATTTCCTGTGTTTCAAATCAAAGTCAGGCCACCTAAAATAAAATTTGTTCTTAGAATTTTTTTCAGATGAAAATAGAGGGGCAGCGAGCAAAAAAATCAAATCGATGAGTCATGCATGTTTGATTTAGAATAGTTCTCAAAAGTTATAAAGAACAGCCTCAGTATTAAATGTCATAAATTTCAAAGTTTTATTTAGAGTCTAGTCTATTTAGTAAACTGCATTACAACACAAGCTCTAAAGCTCTAGTGAGCTTTTCAAATTGACTATGAACCAATAGCACTTCCAGCTTTTGTGTTTTAGTACTATAGTTTTTAATTTATTCAGTTCAAAATACGTTTATTGAACATGTTGGAAATAAAACTAAATCTTTTATTGAAACTGACAATTAATTGACATGGCAACAATGACACAATTGCTGATAAAATTTGGAGCAGCAATTCTGACTAACAAAATATAAATTGGGTGTGGCCTAATCACAGACATATTTTTGCAATAAATTCAAACAGGATATTGTGCTGTGTATTCTTACTATAGTATCAAATACATGAAAATAGTCTTCTTTCTTTAAACAAAAAAAACTTGATATTTAAATTGTATTTTACCACTCTATATCTAAGAATAGGAAATTTCATGTTCAATTTTTTCCCTGATGTAAGGTGTTACAGAGTTGTGTTTTGTTTCATATCTGAATATTAAAGCTGTATATATTAACTAATGGCATTTATTTTTGTGTGTAATCAGCATATATGCATTCACTAGTTGTATATATTTTAGTTGATTCTAATTCATCAAAATTTAAAGATTTATTGAAGTAAGGGATAAAGTGATTACAATGTTACAGATATACATTGTTAAAATATTTCAGCTATGAAAGAGTTGTTTCTAAGTATGGATAAATCTGGAACTGCCATTCCACCCATTATCATGTTACAAGTATTACATATGGCTTACCCACAATTTGCTGAAAAGAGTGAACATGGAGGCTATGCTCAACAGGTACTTAAACAATCAGCATTGTTACAAGAAAATAAAATTTGTAGAATTTCTGATATATTATGATAGAGCTTCCTTCATAATCAATAATATTAAAGATGAGAAGTGGGGTTAATTTTAATAGATTTGATGTATATGTCAAAATGTGTATATATAATTAATGTGTTAAACTGATGTCAGTATAACTGCGGGCTAAATTTTGATTTATAGATGAAAATACAAGACTTATTTGATTTGATTTAAAGTGTTATAAATCAGAAACTATTTTCTACCCCAGGAATAGATTACCTTAGTTGTATTTGGCAAAACCTTTCAGAATTTTGGGTTCTCAACATGCTCTTCAACTTCATACCTTATTTGACCTTTTTAACTCTTTTGATTATAGCGTCACTGATGACCAAGTCTTTTGTAGGCAAAACAGGTGTCAAGCGTACAAAATTATAACCCTGGTATCTATGATTAGTTTATTCTTAACAATATGAAAAAAGAACACTGTATTTTGTTTTGTTTGTTTCTTTTAATTGATGGTAATTGTTACTGCTCTTGTACATTTCAGGATGCAAATGAATGCTGGACAGAATTAGTTCGATGTTTACAACAAAAAGTGCCTGGTGTGAAAAAAGAACCAATGGTACAAAGATTTACAACAACAAAAAAATATTTTGAAAGTTTTATCGTTTTTTAGTGATGATTTTCACGTTTTGCAACCATCAGGAACGATTGGAGATGGGTGAATGTGTATGATACAAGTCTCCACTTATACCATAGCTCCAAGTTATGCCATACTTTGTGACATGTTTCAGTGATATATTGCACCAATCTTTCTCTTGACAAGTTATGCCATACTATGTGACATGTTTCAGTGATATATTGCACCAATCTTCCTCTGACAAGTTATGCCATACTATGTGACATGTTTCAGTGATATATAGCACCAATCTTTCTCTTGACAAGTTATGCCATACTATGTGACATGTTTCAGTAATATATTGCACCAATCTTCCTCTGACAAGTTATGCCATACTGTATGATATGTTTCAATTGTCTTCCATATTCCACTCTCTCTTTTTAGCTCACCTGCCCTAAAAGGCCAAGTGAGCTTTTCTCATCACTTGGTGTCCAGTGTCCGTCGTCCATCGTCCATCGTCGTTAACTTTTACAAAAATCTTCTCCTCTGAAACTACTGGACCAAATTTAACCAAACTTGGCCACAATCATCATTGGGGTATCTAGTTTAAAAAATGTGTCCGATGACCCGGCCCGCCAACCAAGATGGCCGCCATGGCTAAAAATTGAACATAGGGGTAAAATGTATATTTTGGCTTATATCTCTGAAACCAAAGCATTTAGAGCAAATCTGACTATGGTAAAATTGTTCATCAGGTCAAGATCTATCTACCCTGAAATAATCAGACAAATCGGACAACCCATTGTTGGGTTGCTGCCCTTGAATTGGTAATTTTAAGAAAATTTTGCAGTTTTTGGTTATTATCTTCAGTATTATTATAGATAGAGATAAACTGTAAACAGCAATAATGTACAGCAAAGTAAATCTACAAATAAGTCAACATGACCAAAATGGTCAATTGACCCCTTTAGGAGTAATTGCCCTTTATACTCATTTTTTAACTATTTTTTGTGACTTTTTGTTATCTCTGACTAAAATCTTCTCCTCTGAAACTACTGAGACAAATAAAACCAAACTTGGCCACAATCATCATTAGGGTATCTAGTTTAAAAAAAGTGTCAGATAACCCTGCCTGCCAACCAACATGGCCGACATGGCTAAAAATAGAACATAGGAGTAAAATGCAGATTTTGGCTTATATCTCTTAAACTAAAGTATTTAGAGCAAATCTGACGACGTAAAAATGTTCATCCGGTTAAGATCTATCTGCCCTGAAATTTTCAGACAAATCAGACAACCTGAGTTGGGTTGCTGCCCCTAAATTTGTAATTTTAAGAAAATTTTGCAGTTTTTGGTTATTATCTTGAATATTATTATAGAAAGAGATAAACTGCAAACAGCAATAATGTTCATCAAAGTAAGATCTACAAATAAGTCAACATGACCAAAATGGTCAATTGACCCCTTAAGAAGTTGTTGCCCTTTATAGTAAATTTTTAACAATTTTTTGTAAATTTTTGTAATCTATTACAAAAATCTTCTCTGAAACTACAGAGACAAATTTAACCAAACTTGGCCGCAATCATCATTAGGGTATCTAGTTTAAAAAATGTGTCTGACGACCCCGCCTACCAACCAACATGGCCGACATGGCTAAAAATAGAACATAGGAGTAAAATGCAAGTTTTGTCTATTATTTTTTGAACCGTTATAAATAAGAGAAAATCTGAAAGGGGCAAAAATGTTCAGAATAATGAGTTCTACAATTGTCCATATATGTCAAAACTGTTAGACAAATTCTTATAGGAGTTATTGCCCATAATTGACAAATTTAACCATTTTTTTCATTTTTGCCTATTATCATGAAAACTATATCATTTAGAGAGAAACATTTTTTTTCCGTTATGCCTTATATGATTTAAATTGTAATAGATAAATAAACACTTTAAATCATGTAAATGATCAGCGAGGCAAGATCTATTAAAAAGTCAAATTTTTCAGATATAGTTAGTAGACTGTCACTCTTCATAGGAGTGATTGCCCTTAAATGAGCATTTATTTAACCCTCTTTTGTGTTTTGATCAAAAACTAAAGAAGATATAGAGAGACTAAACAGACTAAAAGATCAATAATAAAAGATCAACAAAATAGAGATTTTTGTTATGAAGTCTATTCTCGTCTATATTGTTGGAGAGTGTCCTTTGTTTGATATGTACATAGACCAAGGTCAGCGACACAGGCTCTTTAGAACCTCTAGTTTGAAAACTTGAAGATTTTTCAAATATCATGCACATATATGAAATTTAATAAAAATTTTGACATTTTTTGTTTCTAAGTTTGAATCTTAGTATAACAGTGACCTTCTGCCTTTAAGAAAAATTTCCATTAATTTTATATTTCTGACATTTTACAAGGCAGAGGATGTGCAGATTAAGTAAAATTTCACCATTTCTTTTCAGGAAATCAGTGCATCTAGTAGTCAAGGCCTAGTGGATCAGTATTTATCAGGAGAATTTGATGTCTCGTATCTTTTGATGATTTTTATACAATGAAGACAAAGAAGTGAGATTCCTACTTCTTCACAGATTGATGAATCTTTTAATATCATAGGTTTCATATTTTACTTTCCTTTGCTCCGAAGAAGTATTCCTACTTCTTCGGAGCAAAGGAAAGTAAAATATGAAACCTATGATATTAAAAGATTCATCAATCTGTGACATTTTTGCAGTGTTGGGAAGATACTATGGGTTCGTTAAGTTTTATTGGAACTGATTTTCATAGTTTTATAAAAACTTGTAGTAGACTAGGATAGTAAATGAATTAATTACTGCTCTTTTTAAGGCAATACAAATTTGGATGTTGTTTGATATCAACTCAATTCATGGCTTGCCTTTTCCTGAAGGATCCTTGGAAATTAGATCCTTATAAACAAATATAAATCACTGGAAGCCATTTTCCCAAAAGTTCAAAAAGAATTGTTTATAAATAATAAAATATTTTGAAACCCATATGAAATAATTAATGACCATTCCAGGCCAAATGTTTGTCAAGACAGGAAGATTTTATTTTAACATTGTTAAGCCTTAAATTTCAGATCTAATATATTAACTTATATTTGAACATGTACAATGATTAATTATCTGATTTCCCAATATTATTTTAAAAAACAAATTGGTTTAGGATATGGTTGTTCATTAAGCTAAACAAGTTTTTCAGACACCAAGAAATTTTTCATGGAATAACTGGTTATTTTTTTATGGTTTTTAGGATTTGTCAGACTAGATCACTGTACTGTAGTTTGTAAATTAATAATGCATAAAATTTTGAGAGAAGTCATTTAGTATCATGTGTTAATAAATGAGGAACTTGTAAAACAATTTTAATAGCATTAAATAAAAATTACAATTATAAATCCATTAAATAACAACCATACATATGTAACAGATCAGGTTATGTTTGCTAAAAGTAAAGATGAAACTAAAGTTGTTATAAATATAACTGTTGTAAACAAACTACCTACAGTATTAAGGTCTTGTTAATTTACAAGAAGGTTGAAAAATTCCAGGAAGAGAATTTTTGTTATCCTTAACAATACTCAGAATGAAATGTGAAGAGGCTGAAGAAGAAGTGGCAACACATTCAACAGAAAAATTTTATCAATTAAGTTGTTTTATAGAAAAAGGTAAAGTATTTAATCTGTAAAATAAGTATTTAATAATGTTTAACTTGGAAAAAACAATGTATTAAAAAAGTAATATATATCACATGATATATTTGGTTAGGGATATGAGATATGAGAATTTGTTTAAAATAGATAGGTTGGTTCAAAACTTTGAAATCTTAGAAAGTTTGTTTTGAAAAAAAAGTTTTAGAAATAACTGTTCAAACTGCAATTATGATATACAAAATTAATTTTAGTGTGCAATATTGAATTGTTTAATATATTTGCCATACTTACTTTTCAGAGGTTAAATACATGCACACTGGTCTAAGATCTGTAAGTATTAATAAGATTAGATGGTCACAAAACTCCAGCACTAGTATTTTTTCCGATTGTTTTCTTTTTACTAAGTATGGGTTAGTGATATAGGATGGCTTCAAATTTTGCTCTAACTATAAAAAGAGTTTTGGTTAGGTATAAATAATTTAGATCACTTATTTTCCTGTACCTTTTGGGGTAAATACAGGTAAATAATGTTAAAATTCAATGTAATACAAGTATTTTAAGGTTTAAGTGTAACAAAGAGAAATACAAAGCACCCCATTCATTTGATCAGTATGATTGCAAATGTGGAAATTTGAGCAGGGTCAGTTCAGTTAAAATGTGGTCTATACTAATTGATTTAGTCAGTACGTACAAAAACGTTAAGCACATTTGAGAAAATGTAAATTTGTCATTGTTGTCATATATTTATATAAACTATTGAAGGCATTAGCTTGTGTATTTTGCGGTCGTATATTGGTATGACGTTGGCGTCGTCGTCGTTCATCGTCCGAAGACACATTGGTTTTCACACTATAACTTTAGTTTAAGTGAATGGATCTCTATGAAATTTTACCATAAGGTTAAATACCACAAAAAGAAGGTTGGGATTGATTTTGTGGTTTATGGTACCAACAGTTAAGGAATTAGGGGCCAAAAATAGCATTTTCTAGTTTCCAGACAATAACTTGTGGAACGGTGTATGGATCTCTCTGAAATTATACCACAAGTTTACATACCACAAAGGGATGGTTAGGATTTGCTTTGGGGGGTTATGGCCCAAACCGTTTAGGAATTAGGGGCAAAAAAGGGTGAAAAACAAGGTTGTCCTGGTTAATGGACAAATACTTTAGTACAAAACATAATTTAAAGCAGTGTAAGGGAGATAAATCAAATACATCATTTGAATTACCTTCTGTATCAAGCTGCGCCCAGCGGAGCATTTTATTGAATATCATTTTGTATTCATTGTAGGGATACAATCAATTTTATAACTTTATCACATACATGTACTTGTATATGATGCAGTCAGGTGTAGGACATATAATGACATATATGATTCTTTTCAGAGGCTAGAAGAACACATTACTAAAAATTCGCCTACACTAGGAAGAGATGCAGTATATAAAAAATCTGTAAGTGTTTCAAATCTGGTAGTACATTTTTGAGTTTCTATTATATATAGTAGTTTGCATTAATCTTAATATTGTATATAAAAAGAGCTCTTTTGAACCTCACTCCTATCCAAGCAGTATACTTTGATTATTTTCAAGGTACATGTATATTGAAATCTACTGAAATAGATATAGGAAAGAATTTTTAATTCGTTGTAAGTGTGCAATTTAAATGTTCAAAAATAGACTTAAAACCTTTCTATCCACTCTTGGCCTAATTTTAAAAAAAGAATTGTTGCCAAGTAAACGGATCACCAGATGTAACAAAATGGATCTTAACTATTAATTTAATACCAAACAGAAAACAATAAACTTGCGGAAAAGATGGTATACCGCAAACAAAAGGTGCAAAACTTAGTACACCATATCCGGATTTCGACAAATAATGTCTCTTCAGTGATGTTAGGAATCGAAACGGTATTTGGAAGGCCATATAATTTAACTCAATTTAGGATAGACTCTTGAATTTTGAAGAGTCGAAATAGGATGAACGGATCATATAAACCAGTAGGCAAATATAATACAAGCCCAAAAGAAAAAATATAAACAAGTCTAAATTGAAAACAACGTTCAAACCTATGATTGCGTTATAATACAAGCCCAAACAAAAAAATATAAACAAGTCTAAATTGAAAACAACGATAATATATATATATATATATATATATTATGCAAGTGCTTAGAAATTCTTTAGCTTTTTTGTAATGTCTTATGATTAGTTATTGAAAATGTGAAGTCCATAAAAGAAAGAAAAGTTTCAAGTTGCAACACTAATATAGTTTGCCATATAAATACTGACATTTTATACCTTTTTTCAGAGTAAATTAAAGAGAATTCCAGCCTATTTAGCTATTCAGTTTGTTAGATTTTATTACAAAGAAAAAGAAGCTATAAATGCTAAAATTTTAAAGGTATAGTATTGGCTCTTAAGATTTGTACCAGTATGTAATAAGTGTATAAAAACCTCATATTTACACGGGAAATGATCAACCCATTGCCAAAAAAGTCAACCTTTCCTGCAACAAAGAGTCCATAATTGAAAACGTAATGTAGCAAATGTCAACTCAGCGTTATCTTACAGGCTGAATACCAGTTATCCTGTATGCATCACATTTCATCTAGGCACAGTCATTATGAGCATCATCATTAATTAGTATAAATAAATGAAATAGTATTAACTATACATACATAATCACAGTAAATGGATAATCTCATGACTGATCACACATTATGTTTATGTGCTACAAAACAGGTTTACATACATGGATATGTTTGGAAGGTTTTATGACTTTCCACATAAAAACATTTTATTGTTATAATGGAGTTCATATATATGAAATGTGATTGTTGAGAATATTGCATTTTTAATTCGCAGAATTAAGGACATTGATGTAATTTTTATACGACCGCAAAAAAATTTTTGTGGTCGTATATCGGTATGACGTTGGCGTCGTCGTCGTCTGGCGTCGTCCGAAGACACATTGGTTTTCGCACTCTAACTTTAGTTTAAGTGAATGGATATCTATGAAATTTTACCACAAGGTTCAATACCACAAAAGGAAGGTTGGGGGTTATGGTACCAACAGTAAAGGAATTAGGGGCCAAAAAGGGGCAAAAAACAAGCACTTTTCTAGTTTCAGGACAATAACTTGTGTGTAAGTGTATGGATCTTTCTGAAATTGTACTACAAGGTTCCATATCACAGAGGGAAAGCTGGGTTTGAGTTTGGGGGTAATTGCCCTCAACGTTTAGGAATTTGGGGCCAAAAAGGGGCCAAAAAACACATTTTTCTAGTTTCCAGACAATAACTTGTGTTCAAGTGTATGGATCTCTCTGAAATTGTACTGTAAGGTACCATACCACAAAGGGAAGGCTGGGATTGAGTTTCGGGGTGATGAATCATAAGGGGGTTCAAAAAATTTTGGGGAGGGATTTTTTTTTTTTTCCTTTTTTTTCTTTTTTTCCTTTTTTTTTTCTTTTAAAATTTTCCATTTTAAGTTGGTTATTTCTGATTTATATTTAAAAGCAAATAATAATGATATGGTAGGAGATACACACCAAACAGGATGTATAAATTATTATATAATAAGTATTGTGCAATAGCAAGAAATTTTCAATTGCACAGTATTGCACAATAGCAAGAAATCTTCAATTGCACAGTATTGCACAATAGCAAGAAATCTTCAATTGCACAGTATTGCGCAATAGCAAGAAATATCCAATAGCACAATATTGCGCAATAGCAAGAAATTGTCAATTGTACAGTATTGCGCAATAGCAAGAAATATTTAATTGCACAGTATTGGGCAAAAGAAGATACTTCGTATAAATTGCTTATTTCTTGACCAATTTCAATAGGGTTTTATTCTTGAATTCTTGGGGTTCTTTAATATGCTGAATCTAACCATGTATTAAGTTTTTGGATTTTGGGCCCCGTTTTTAAATTGGTCCACATTGAGGTTCAAAGGGTCCAAAATTAAACTTTGTTTGATTTCATCAAAAATTGAATTATTGGGGTTCTTTGATATGCCGAATCTAACTGTGTATTTAGATTCTTAATTTTTGGTTCCGTTTTCAAATTGGTCTACATTAAAGTCCAAAGGGTCCAAAATTAAACTTAGTTTGATTTTAACAAAAATTGAATTCTTATGGTTCTTTGATATGCTGAATCTAAACATGTATTTAGATTTTTGATTATGGGCCCAGTTTTCAAGTTGGGTCCAAAATTAAACTTTGTTTGATTTCAACAAAAATTGAATATCTGGGGTTCTTTGATATGCTGAATCTAACCATGTATTTAGATTTTTGAATTTTGGGCCCCGTTATCAACTTTGTCCACATTGAGGTCAAAAGGGTCCAAAATTAAACTTTGTTTGATTTCATCAAAAATTGAATTCTTGGGGTTCTTTGATATGCTGAATCTAACCATGTATTTAGATTTTGGATATTGGACCATAATAGGTGAATGTCCAATTTAAAATTTTTAAGTTCTTAGACCACATTCATTCTGTGTCAGAAATCTATGCTGTGTCAAATATTTAATCACAATCCAAATGCAAAGCTGTATCAAGCTTGAATGTTGTGTCCATACTTGCCCCAACTGTTCAGGGTTCGACCTCTGCGGTCGTATCAAGCTGCGCCCTGCGGAGCATTTTATTTACTTTTACAATTAGGTCAGATTTAAACGAATTTGTAATTGTTGTTATTATACACCCCAAAAAAATTTTGCAGTTGTATATTGGTATGACGTTGGCGTCGTCGTCATCCGAAGAAACATTGGTTTTCACACTCTAACTTTAGTTTAAGCGAATGGATCTCTATGAAATTTTACCATAAGGTTCAATACCACAAAAGGAAGGTTGGGATTGATTTTGGGGGTTATGGTACCAACAGTTAAGGAATTAGGGGCCAAAAATAAGCATTTTTGTAACTTCCAGACATAACTTGTGTGTTAGTGTATGGATCTCTCTGACATTGTACCACAAGGTTCCATATCACAAAGGGAATGCTGGGATTGATTTTTGGGGTAATTGTCTCCAAAATTTTAGGAATTAGGGGCAAAAAAAACATGCATTTTTGTAGTTTCATGACAATAACTTGTGTGTAAATGTATGGATCTTTCTGAAATTGTACTACAAGGTTCCAAATCACAAAGGAAAAGCTGGAATTGAGTTTGGGGGTAATTGCCCAAAACTTTTAGGAATAAGGGGCCAAAAAGGGGCAAAAAATAAGCATTTTTCTAGTTTCCAGACAATAACTTGTGTTCAAGTGTATGGATCTGTCTGAAATTGTACTACAAGGTACCATACCACAAAGGGAAGGCTGGGATTGATTTTAAGGGTAATTGCCTCAAAATTTTAGGAATTAGGGGCCAAAAAGGGGCAAAAAAACAAGCATTTTTCTAGTTTCAGGACAATAACTTGTGTGGTAGTGTATGGATCTTTATGAAATTGTACTACAAGGTTCCATATCACAAAGGAAAAGCTGGGTTTGAGTTTGGGGGTAATTGCCCTAAACGTTTAGGAATTTGGGGCCAAAAAGGGGCCAGAAAACAAGCATTTTTCTAGTTTCCAGACTATAACTTGTGTTCAAGTGTATGGATCTCTCTGAAATTGTACTGCAAGGTACCATACCACAAAGGGAAGGCTGGGATTGAGTTTGGGGGTGATGAATCATAAGGGGGTTCAACAAATTTGAGGGGGGATTTTTTTTTCCTTTTTTTTCTTTAAAATTTTCTATTTTTAATTGGTTATTTCTGATTTATATATAAAAGCAAATAATAATGATATGGTTAGAATAGGTAAATTAAAATTATTCAAGTTCTTAGACCACATTCATTCTGTGTCAGAAACCTATGCTCTGTCAAATATTTAATCACAATCCAAATTCAGTGCTGTATCAAGCTTGAATGTTGTGTCCATACTTGCCCCAACTGTTCAGGGTTCGACCTTGCGGTCGTATCAAGCTGCGCCCAGCAGAGCATTTTATTTTCTTATTTTAGGATGTTAAATTTCCAATAAGTTTAGATGTATATGATCTGTGTTCAGAAAAATTACAAGAACAACTTGCACCAATGAGGGATAGGTTTAAAGAATTAGAAGATAAAAAGGCAGAAGAATTACAAAAGGTAAAGAGTTATTTTGTGAAATGATAAACAGGAGTTACTTTTACCCTTTGGATGCTCATATTGAACATGCTGTTGATTACTTACCACCGAAATTTACTGTTTTCTGTCTCATTGAGATAGAAATGTTTACAGATCACTATTAATTGTTAACAGTCTGTAGCCCAATAAAAAGGTCAGGGAACCAAGATAATGGCAAGTGAATATTTTTAGGGGTTGAAATTTTATGAAAGTGGAAGATAAGAATTTTTAATGGGATGGGGTGAAGAGAGTCTAAAAATCATGAAATGTTTTGTCCTGCCAGATGGATCACATCTATGTCTTGTTGAGTTGCTATAAGTATATATATTCTATTGGAATTGGTGACATCCTTAATTCACTACTCATAGAGTAGCTACAAAATATCAAAAAGATTTTCTTGATTAAAATAACAATAATTATTGGTTAAATTTTTAATTTATGTTATAGGCCAAAGTATCTGGGAAAGCAGATGAGAAGAAAGAACTAAAATTAAAACAGGAACCCTATTCTTTTCCTGATGGTAAGAAGATCAATTTGTTGAGAAAAAAATTCTCTTGGAAAAAAAATGATGTAGTCTGTCTGTGTTTTTTATCCATTATTTTTTTCGGATGAAAGAAGGTGTACTATGGACCCTAGTTATATTACAAAATTGTGTGATTTTTGCTAAAATATAATTACTATTTATGTGCAAAGATAAACTATAAGGTGTTTCAAATATTTCTCCAGTTGACTAGTCCTTTGCTGTTACTCCCAAAGGCAATAATCTTGACACAAAATCAGAAAATATTAATTTTCAAGTATTTTGTATGACCAAGCCATGGATCAAACCCACAACCTCCCACACTTGAAGTGATATGCTTCCACAGAACTCCAAGCTGTGGTATTATCTTGCCTTTAATATTTGGTGGTAAAAAAAAATGTTGAAAAATTTACAAAATCTATGTATTTTTCATCAAAACATGAAGAAAGGACTTTTTACAACATCTTAAATGCATTTATTGTGACATTGTGGATCTGAAATTTCTTGATTTTAGTTTTATATTACCACAATTGTGGGCGAAAAATTCCAACTAAATGTAAATCTTGAATTCAAGTTCAAATTACTGTGAAAAAATTAGGGAATATAGGATCTTATCATGACCTGTCAGTACACTTTGTTTCAGTACAAAGTAAAATCTTTACTGACCCCATGTTTATTTTTCAGTATGTATTGTAATTTCTGTTTTTAGATGTGGGTTCAAACAACAGTGGATATTATGAGCTACAAGCTGTATTAACACACAAAGGCAGATCCAGTTCCAGTGGGCATTATGTTGCTTGGGTCAGACGAAAGGGAGGTTAGTCTAGTCATTAACAATGTAAAAGTAATGTGCCTTGAACTGAAATCCAAAACTAGTATTCTGCTTATAGGGATGGATAGATAAATTATAAAGATGATATTTTATCTGACATTTTAGAATAAAATTCATTGGAAAATTTCTGGCTAGAAAGTCTTGGCACAAAAGTTCCCATTGTATACTATGGTAAATTTTTCCAATTATACAATAAGGTGTCTACATCTGGTTCTAATTGTCCTATTTCCTAACAACATTGTACAAAAAAATGTTTTACTGGGTAACAGTTGTGGTAAAAGATAATTGGTTTTGATAATAACAATCTGTTTTTGGCAGATGGGACCTAATTTAAAGAATTTCAGAAATTGCTTATGTTAAGCCTAGGATCCTGGCTTAATCTTTGCCCTGTGTTTATTGAGCAGTGGGCCGGCATACCAAACAAGCTTTAGTTTTAATCTAAAATAATTTGTCTCTCATTGCAAAGAAGATATTCAATTAGTATAAGGGAACTTCCACTGTATTTGCATGATTATTCACTTAAAACTAGTATGGAAAAAGTGACTAATTTCGCCTAAGATTTTAACTTAATATGTTTTTGTCATATATACTTCTTACAAGATGTATTTGTGTCAGAATTCAAGCACAAACATGGAAAAACTGAAATGTTGCATCACATGAATTAGCAAAGTTACCATAATGACAAGGGAGATAACCAAACTAGATTTAGCTCTTATTGTTTAATCCAAGGATTGTGTTGGGCCAGGGGAGGGTTGAAGAATGCTCCTTTTGAAGGGAAAGTGTTATTTTTAAGTTTGAATAATTATGAGATAATGCAATTTTTGCTTGCACTGGAAACAGTGAATTTTGGTTGGATTACAGAAAGTGAAAATTCAACTTTTAATTTGGCGAATTAACAGCAGACAATTTCTGGGAAAAGGGAGTTCCTGTTTTGTGTAATCTACTCCTTCAATTGTGAACTAAAAACCTTCCAACTTTCTAGTATGTTTGTTTATACATTTAAAATTTGCACTCATTTGGAGAATATTTTCCATTTTTCCATATGGTGAAAGTAATCAAGACCCCCTTCACACTTGGACATTTAGATCGATTTAAACTAGATCTGTTCACTTTAGATAGATTTAAGCCCAATATGAACGCTTTGAATCGGTCTAAACTAAAACACTAAAAGAGGTAGTTTAGTTTGAATCGATCTAAAGGGAACCGATCTAACTTAAAATGTGAATGCAGAGATCGATCTTAACTAGTACGATTGAAACAAAATTAATTTGTGCGCATGTATGGCGGCAAAATTACACATGCAATTTATTACCAAATGGATGACCAACATAAAAGGGCTTAATATTAACAAAAACTATAGGAACAGCAGTATCAACATTTTTCAAGTAAAACAATAACTTCATCCTTTATTTTTTTGCAAGTGTGTGTATCAACATATTAATTTGATTAAATATTTCTATTTATACACAGTGTTAACAACTTCATGTGTAATTAGGTCAGATCAATTGCATATTTACTTGTAGTGTGAACGCTGTGGTTCAGATTAGACCGATAGAGATTGTTAGGATTAAAGATAATGTGAATGCTAACTGGTTTTATTTAGATCGATTCAAATTTAGATAAATTAAAGAAATGCTAGTGTGAACAGGGTCTTAGTCAATTTTTAACAGCACACTCAATTATACCTGTTTTGTGTAGTCAACCCAACAGTTTTATATCCTGAGCCTTTTTATACGACCGTAGTCGTATATTGGTATCACATTGTCAGGGGCGGCTGTGTCAGCGTCGTCCGAAGACATTTGATTTCCGGACAATAACTATGGTTTATGTGTATGGATCTCTATGAAATTTAAGGAAAAGGTTCAATACCACAAAAGGAAGGTTGTGATTGTTTTTGGGGGTGATGGTCCCAACCGTTGAGGAATTAGGGGCCAAAACAAGCATTTTTCTAGTTTCAGGACAATAACTTGTGTATAAGTATATTGATTACTCTGAAATTGTACCACAAGGTTCAATACCACAAGTAGAAGGTTGGGATTCATTTTGGGGGTAATTGCCCAAACCGTTCAGGAGTTAGGGGCCAAAAAGGGTCTAAACAAGCATTTTACTAGTTTTCAGACAAATAAGTGTATGGATGGCTCTCAATTTGTACCACATTTTACAAAAAGAAAATTTCTTCAAATGTTTTTGTTTTTTTTGGTGGGGGGGGGGGGGCAATTTTTTTTCCTCAAGATTTAAGAAATTGTCAATTTTCCAAAGAAAAAATTTGGGGGTCACAATTTATTTTGCTAATTCTTTGTATATTTATAGTCTGAAAACAGATTTACTAAGTATTGTGCAACAGCACAGTGTATTGCACAACAGCAAGAAATCTTCAATTGAATATGAATTCAAATCATACAACCAATTTCAAGTTCTTTGACTACATTTCTGTGTCAGAAACCTATAATGTGTCAAATATTTAATTACAATCCAAATTCAGACCTGTATCAAGCTTGAATATTGTGTCCATTTTTGCCCCAACTGTTCAGGGTTGGACCTCTGCGGTCGTATCCAGCTGCGCTCGGCGAAGCAGTTTATTTTTTTATATGCTGAATCTAAGCATGGAATAAGATTTTGGATATTGGACCATTAAGTAGATTAAATGTCCCATTTCAAATTTTAAGTTACCTGACCACATTTATTCTGATTCAGAAATCTATAATGTGTCAAATATTTAATCACTATCCAAATTCAGAGCTGTATCAAGCTTGAATATTGTGGCCATACTTGCCCCAACTCTGCGGTCGTATCCAGCTGCTCCAGGCGGAGCGCATTTTATTAAACTTTCTACAAAGTTTATGTAAGTTGTGTAAAAGTTGTAATTTTGTAAGAATTTTAATTTGTACAAACTTTTTGTACATTTATCAGTATTTTGAGACAAACCTTCTTTTAGCAGGTGATACAATTTTGTCTTCAATAATTGACCAGCTTGAGCTTGATGTATTACTTACAAATGTATATACTTCAACCCAACATTAAACACTGACCTCTTTGACAAATATTGACAACTTGTACAAAAAAGTTTACAAATTATAATTTGTACAAATTTACAAATTCACAACCCATTAAAACCACAAAAAAGGAAGCATTGCATTCTTATAATTACATTTCAATTGTTAAACCAGGAAATTGCCAGTTAAATCAAGCATTTTGTTTGTTTAATGTTCCTACATAATGCTGCAATATTATCATTGCCAGCTTGTGGTCTTTGATGCTGCATTTTATTGGGACATAAAACATCACGTTAAAACACCATGTGATTGTTATCTACAAATCAAAATGATGGAATCCTTATTAAACCTCTATGTAATGTAATTATTTGCAGATGATTGGTATATGTATGACGATGATAATGTTAGTCCTGTGACTGCAGAGGATGTACTAAGGCTCTCAGGTGGAGGTATGTATGGCAATATTCTGTAATGTCATTTTAAGTGTTTACTGTGCGACAGTGTTTGGACAGCAATGACTTTCTACTGGAATAGTACTTCCTATGAATTATTCATTAAAATATAATTTGGGTGATCTTTTACTATATTTAATTTGTTTACACCATGGATATACATGATATATTTGTACTTTTGTTGTTTTATTTATTTTCATGTAAAATGTTAACGTTTCTGTATATAGTGCATTAGAATTGGCAAATTTCAATAAATATTTAAAAAATCAATCAATTTCAAGACAGAATCAATCTTACTTGTTAAAATAAGATTGAAATTACTTATATTCAAGCCAGACTCACCCTTATTTGTACAAGTTAGATCACAAACTTCCTTGTATACATATAGTGAATAATGTTTGATGATTCAGTCAACAATATCAATCTTTTGAATTTATCACTTAATTACTTTTACCTCGTTATAATTGTACCAGGTGAGACCAAAAAAGAATGTGCTATTATTTTCAATAAAAAAAATAAAGTAAAGGTACATTTTTGATAAAAAAAATGCAAATTTGCTGTAACTATCAATGGACTCCTGATAGGAGTTATTGCCCAGAAATGAAATTTGTTTTACTATTGTAGCTTTTATATCTTTTATCTGGAAAACTATGATAAATAAACAGCAATTATAAATAACAAAAATTTTCAGCCAGTAAAGAACTACAAATATACCAATATGACTGAAACCATCAATTGATTTCCTGCAGGAATTCATGCCCCTAAATGACAATATTGACCAATTTATTTAGTTTTGCTTATTATCTGAACTATAATAGATAGACAGAAACTGTAAACAGCAAGAATGATTTGATAGCTGCACAAAGTCTTCAAAAAAAATTACTATGACAGAAACCATCAAAGTTCTTCTTATAAGAGTAATTGCTCTAAAATGTATATTTGATGAGTTTTTATACAACCGCAAAAAATTTGCAGCAGTATAATGGTATGGCAATGTTGTTGTCATCTGAAGACATTTGGTTTTATACAATAACTTGAGTATACGTGTATGGATCTCTATGAAATTGTACCACAAGGTTCCATACCACAAAAGGAAGGTTGAGATTGATTTTGGGGGTTATGGCCCTAACCGTTTAAGAATTTTGGACCCAAAAGGGGTCAAACATTTTCCTGGTTTCCAGACAATATTGAGTGTAAGTGTATGGATTAGTATGACATTGTACCACAAGGTTCCATACCACAAAAGGAAGGTTGGATTGAATTTGGGGGTGATGACCATATCTGCTTTATAGGAATAAGAGGCCAAAAAGGGGGTAAAAAACCAAGTAATTTTTTAAACTTTGTTTGAATTGCTTATTCTTGACCAATATTAATGGGGTTTAATTAATCTTGAAATATTGGGGTTCTTTGATATGCCTAATCTTACCGTGTATTTAGAATTTTGATTTTGGGCTGTGTTTTCAAGTGGGTTCAAATTATGGTGCAAAATTAAACTTTATTGATTTTTCAATATGCTGAATCTATATTTAGATTTTGGATTTTGGGCCCATTTTTCAAATTGGTCCACATCAGGGTCAAAAGGGTCAAAAATTAAACTTTGAAATGAATGAATTTTAAGATTGTTAACATGTATTTTAATGATTTCCTATGGTTGAAAATTCCATTGGAAATTGAAATAGACATTTGTCCATCTGTTGATTAATTTAATAAAAGGTTTCCTACCAATTACAGCTTAAACTAAATTCTTTTATGGAGCATTTTAAAAACTTCGCTAATATTGTCCATTAATAAATAAATTAATTAAATTCTTGGTGTACTTTGATATGAAGAATCTAACTGTGTATTTGGATTTTGGATATTGGACCATAATAGGTAAAAGTCAATTTCAAATATTTCAGTTCTTTGACCACATTCATTCTGTGTCAGAAACCTATGCTGTGTCAAATATTTAATCACAATCCAAATTAGGAGCTGTATCAAGCTTGAATATAGTGTCCATACTTGCCCCAACTGTTCAGGGTTCAACCTCTGAGGTTGTATCAAGCTGTGCCCAACAGAGCATTTTATTACTATTTTAGACAAAACACAACAAGGATTTGTCAGTATTATAGGAATATTTATAGTTTTTCAGCACATTTGATGTTTTCGACAACTTCTTAGTTTCTTTCTTTGGAAAATGTGTACAAGTTTCAAAAACAATCATATAATGGTTTACTTTTATAAATTTTGACTTGGATGGAGAGTTGTCTCATTGGCACTCATACCACATCTTCTTATATCTATATATAACTTTTTTTCTAGTTTCTAAGGTTGAGTCAATGTGTCCAGTACTTTTGATTAAATGATTTTTTTCTCATCTTACAGGTGATTGGCATTCAGCTTATGTATTATTATATGGACCAAGAATTCTAGAGGTTGAAGAGGAAGAGAAGATGGAAACTTAAATAATAAATCATCCAGAAAAGAAGACAACTCATTTTGAACAAACACTCTTTTATTTAAATGTCCCGTGAGTTATTCAGAAAGTTCCTGTTGCAAAAAATTTCTTCTTCCATAGGAACAAATTATTTTATTAAAATGACAGTAATGAATTTAAATGGGACCTTGCAAGTATTTTCACTGAAAAAGTTCTATTTGAATGCTAATCTTTAAGTTATATATGACAATTCTTTGTTCATTTGTAAATTTTTAAGACTCTATTAGTTGGTGCAAATAAATGTAAATTATTAATGTTAATGTTTTATTGTTTATTTTTATACCTCCGCTTTAAAAAAGGGAGGGTATACTGTTTTACCCCTGTCTGTCCATCCGTCAGTCCATCCGTTGGTCAGTCCGTCTGTCCGTCCCATGATATATTTTTCGTCGCATCTTTCTCAGGAATTACATCATAAGGATTTCTGAAATTTGGTTTCAGGGTTTATATAAGTCAGCTACACCGTTTGATGCGTTTTCAGATTCATTACTCAACAACTTCCTGTTTACCGAAATATTTGGGCGGGGGTATCATCAGTGAGCAGTAGCTCACACTTTCACTTGTTTATTGCTGCAAAACAAAATGCTTTCATGGGAGCAAGTTTGTTGTCATCATGGATGTAGAATAATATCTGTTTTTAAAGGTAATATTTACAAATGTGGAAAACTTCTTAAAAACATTACTATTTATATACAGTGAAATTTCAGCATCTCATTATTCTGTAAAAAAAAATATCTAAAGTCTTCATTTTGACAATTTTCACATCTCAAATATAAGTACAAATACACATTAGATTTAAACATGTCTAGCTAGAGTTAAGTGGACAAATTATTTGGTTTTGGCCTTCATCGTTCAGTCAGCCAACACAAATATTTCTATCTTGTAGTTGTGTTGATGTCTTAATTTATATCTGTATCCAAGAATTGCTTCATTGAACATAGTTTTGTACTTCTGGTTAGTTCTCTTTATAATACAATTCTTTAGGAAAAGAGAGGCGATGATAAACTTACAACACCATGGCAAAAAAAAAACAAACAACACAAAGACAAAGCTGACAAACAATAGTATACAAAACACAACAGTGAAAACTAAAGTGAGCAACACAAACTGCATCCAAAACTTGGGGTGACCTCAGGTGCTCTGGAATAGTCATCAGATCTTTCTCGACATGTGGCATGTTCGGATATCATTTATTTATTTCACAAAATATTTTTTGTCTCGCCTTGACAGAGTCAAAAAGCGAGACATAGGTATGCTGTTTCCGGCGATGGTGGTGGCTGTGTCAACAATGTATTAGTTTGTGATTAGGTTTAGTTCATGGTGAACCACTAGTGGTAGGTCAATGATATTTGGTATGCAGTTGTATTAGCATTGGCACATCTCATTACCTTGGAGATTATATGGCCCTGCCCCCTCAGTCAAGGTCTATTGACTTTGAAACTTTTCATAGTTTACATATAGTTTACATGTATTAGTTTGTGATTAGGTCAATTTATGGGGAACCACTAGTGGTAGGTCAATGATATTTGGTATGCAGTTGCATAAGCTTTGGCATATCTCATTTCCATGGAGATTATTTGGCTCCGCCCCCTTAGTTATGGTCTATAGACTTTGCTAAGTTAACATGTATTAGTTTGTGATTAGGTCAGTTCAAGGGGAACCATTAGTGGTAGGCTAATGTTAATTGGTGTTCAGTTGTATAAGCATTAGCACATCTCATTTCCATGGAGAATATTTGGCCCCGCCCCCTCAGTCATGGTCTATTTACTTTGAAACTTTTGCTTAGTTTACATGTATTAGTTTGTGATTAGATCAGTTTAAGATGAACTGCTAATGTTAAGTCAATGATATTTGGTATGCAAATTTATTGGCATTTGCAACTATCGTTTCCATGGAGATTATATAGCCCCCACCCCTGATCATGGTTCATTGACTTTAAAACTTTTACTAGTTTACAAGTTAATGTTTGTGTTTAGCTTTGTTTAAAGGGAACGACTTATAATAAGTCAATGGTATTTGGTATGTACATGTACATGTATTAGCATTGGCACATCTCATTCCATGGAGATTGTTTAGCCATGTACCTCCAGTCATGGTTCATCGACTTTGAATATTTGCATAACTTACATGTTAAAGTATTGCTATTTTAATTTCAACATTTGCATTATCAAAATTACAAAAAGGCGAGACATATCTCTGTGATAACAGTTTATTAATATGTTAATTACATGAAAAGGTTTGAACAACTTTGATTTTGTACGAATTGTGACTCTGAACTTACCATTTGGTGTTCAACAGTGAGATGCAATTAGGTGAAAAAAATACTTTAGTTATGATAAGTTTGAATGTCAGCATATACCAAATTCAAAATCCTGTGTTCAAAAGGTTGACAGAGAAAAAAATGCTGAGATTGATATAATCCTAGTATGCTAGCAGAATTTTACTGCAAACATTAATAAAAATAAGAGAAATGCGTGGCACAGATATATTAGTTAATTCAACTTCATTGTATATACATTCAAGTGTTAACCCCATATCTCTTGCGGGAGATTCCATAAGAGAAGCCTCATCCTTTAAGTTAGATGTAATTCAAATTTAAAAGGATTTAGTACACTCAAAACAAGGCCATTTGACAGAATATTTTAATTTTTGACCACTGGGTCGATACTATTGCTACTTGACTTTTAGTCCCAGAGGGTATCATCAACCCAATAGTCTGTGCTTTGCCACTGACATGATTTATTACATACCTTTTTGAAAGGACTGGTATGATAAGTCCACTATTTTGGCCCCTTGTATTTGAAAATCAAAAAGTATTATTAAACCACCAAATAACATCCTTCAGATGTTTATGAAACATAAATCTGTCAGACATCAGTATTTGTATTTTTATGCCCCCGCCGTAGCGGAGGGGGTATTAAGTTTTACCCTTGTCCGTCTGTACGTACGTACGTCCCAAAATTGGTTTCCGTTCTCTAACTTTAGTTTGCCTCAACCAAATGTTATGAAACTTATACATAATGCTTATTACCACAAATCACAGATCAGGTTTGAATTTTGGTGGCGTCACTTTTGCCGTTCTAGAGTTATGCCCTTCTACAAATGGAAAAATTACTGAATTTTTCGTTTCCATTCTCTTACTTTAGTTTGCCAAATGTTATTAAACTTATAATACACAATTCTTATTACCACAAAACTCACTTTTACAGTTCTTGAGTTATATCTCTTTATAACATTATATGCAAGCAGGGGCATCATCTGTTTCCCATGGACACATTCCCCATTTATTGTATTTTGTTTTACATGTTTGCACCAGGGGCTGCAAACGTTTTGAAATCATATTAAAGCTGCAAAAACTGTCAAACTAGCCAGATTTTGAGATTTAGATATGACCAAAGGATTTACCCGGAAAGGTATTTTTCTACAAGATGTCTTATACAAAAATGTAATGTTTGTAAGATCCTTTCTGGGTAAAGTCTTGGCTAATGTCTATTTGCCTAAAACTTTCATTTATCAATAAATCTAAAATAAAATTTAGAGGCTTGAACAATTTTTCTGTGTTACAACAATTTCAGGTTAATAAATAAGAATAATATAATATATAAATATTAACAAATTGTTAGAAACTAAGATTCTAATTTACTCTGGCAATTTTGACCTTAGATGGTTTTGGCTATTCCTTTTTGGTCTTTTTTGGACATAAAGCTGGTCAAGTGTTTATATATTCCTGGCTTTTAAATTTTCAGATTTGAGCGTTTCTGATGAAGATAAATCAAGAACCATTGTAAGCTACCTTAAATCAAAAGTTTAACCTCATCAGTGAACTGTAAAACCCTAATCTGGTATATAATAAAAAAAATTTCCATACAAAATTTTAAGCTAGGTATCTATGAAAAGTTTATTTACACAGTCGTTCCAAGTTTCCTCCCCTTTTGTGTATGCACTTTTCTGTTGACATGAGTTATCATTGATATGGTAATAATTATAAATGAACTGTTAAAAAACTGAATTTTTCGAAAAATTTAGGATTTGCTACCCCAAGAATAAATTATCTTCGCTGTATTTGGCAAAACCTTTCGGAATTTTGAGTCCTAAATCCACTTCAACTTTGTTCTTTATGTTTTTTTAACTTTTTTATTTGAGCGTCACTGATGAGTCTTTAAATATGTAGACGAAACACGCTTGGCATACAAAATTTAAAGCCTGTTATCTATGAAACTTATACACATGATCATAATGATGTGAACTAATAAAAATATATGCCAAATTAGGATTTTGACCTAGATTTAATGGTTCACTGAACATGGAAATACGAAAGAGCAAGCAGGGCATGATGTCTTATGGTACGGACACATATTCTCATCATTAATTTTTGATCTCTTTAATTGTGAAACGATTATTAAAATAACTTATTATATTCAAAAATTTGTACCATCATAAGTTGAATCTTTCATTGAATGATTTTTGTCGAGCCTGCGACTTTTGTCGCAAAAGCGAGACATAGCGATACTACATTCCGTCGTCGTCGGGCGGCGTCCAAAAATATTTACTCTGTGGTTAAAGTTTTTAAAATTTTAATAACTTTCTTAAACTATCCAGGATTTCTACCAAACTTGGACAGAAGCTTGTTTATGATCATAAGATAGTATCCAGAAGTAAATTTTGTAAAAAAAAAATCCTGTTTATCCGTATTCTACTTATAAATGGACTTAGTTTTTCTGCCAGTTAACATTACATTCACTCTGTGGTTAAAGTTTCACAAATTTTAATCACTTTTTTAAACTATCCTGGATTTGTACCAAACTTGGACAGAAGCTTGTTTATGATCAAAAGCTAGTATCTAGAAAGAAATTTTGTAAAAATTTATTTCCTGTTTTTCCATATATTTCTTATAAATGGACTTAGTTTTTCTTCCAGTTAACATTACATACAGTCTGCATTTAAAGTTTTTAAAACATTTATTAGATTCATAAACCATCCTCGAGTTTTACCAAACTTGGACAGAAGCTTCTTACAATCAAAAGATAGTATCTAGAGGAAAATTTTTAACGGGATCATAGACAACAGCAAAAGTAGGCGAGACTCTGGGTTCCGCAGAACCCTTACCCATTTTTTTAATTATGTTTAATTTTCTGTTGTTCAGTTACTTTAATTGACCTTTAGCAGAGTCTTATCAGTTTCTGTGCTTTCTAGGGTTTTAAAATTTTGGCCATCTAAACTTTTGGTCGAGTGTATCTGGTAAAGGTCATCAAGAAAC